CCAATCACGTATTTCGATGCATGATGGCCAAAGGTGTCAAAGGTGCATGTTAATGTAGAATGAATGCAACAAAACCAATGAATGCTACACCCTCTATCATGTTGGGGTCAAGAGTGTCGGCGACCGAGGATTGAGGTGTGTTTCGTCACTTTAAGTACGAACACACCTCATACCTTATGTTTGGTTTGACACCCCAAACCAAATACAATGCAATGCATGTATGCAATATGGCTCAAATATGCAAAATGGGGCTAAGTTAACAAAGCATGCCAAATGCGATGCAACCTAAACATGTAAATGTACAATGTGCTAAGCATGCAAGATACAATGCAATGTGACCTAATATGCAAGCTAAGCTAATGTAACAACAATATGCAAACATGATATAATGCGAGCATGCAAATGATGTAACAAGATGCAACATGCCAAACATGCAACTATGTGCAAGGATGGGCTTAAACCGAAATGGGAGGACCTCAGCCAATCCCAAATCAGTGGCCATATGATGAAAATGAGACAACCGAAATACATGCAAACATGCAGGAATGCAAAGAACCGATCCTAAGGCACAACATGCAACTCTAACAAAGCATGACTAAGGATGAAATATGGCATAGAATGGCACATGATCCAGCTCTGAAATATGATGCCCAATGGTCCCAAATCATGCAAACACTTCACACGATGCATGCTAGATGGCCCGAATACCGAAACTAGTGAAGTGCGTTACACTAGAGGTACACAAAGCAATACACAAATGGCAAAACCAACCCCAAATAGACCCTAAGTAGGTCCAAGATAGTGGGAAATTGGTCTAAAACGATGGCTCGGAATACATTCAAATGAAGCCTATGCAATGGTCGGTAAATGAGGCATACAAGCCCGACTCTCTAATGCACTTAAAGAGTGGAAATCATGAGAATATGGCATGCATATGAGCTCTAAAATATGATGTGCAATGGCCCCAAAACATGAAAACACCTCAGTATATGCATGCGATGGACCTCAAAACTCAAAGTTAAGCATGGATATTGAACTATAGGCATGCAAAACAAGCATCATTCAACCATGAGACCCAAAAATAGAGCTAAGAAAGTCCAAAACATGCACAAAATCAGTTTAAGGCAAGGCCAAAATATGCTAGAAAAGGCGGCCAAAACATCATGCAAAACAAGCTAGTGAACCATGACTTACACTACAACTATATGAAGCATGTGAAGGACTACCAAATCAGTCCAAAACAGAAACATGGCATGCCAAAATATGACCAAAAACCCACTGGAACTCAATCAACACATGCTAGAATGAGGTGCTCCTTTGAAAGGCTATGCAAAGGGGTTACTCTATACATGCAAGATAGACATTCAATATGAGAAAACCACCTCTAGACAGAGGTTATGAGGGCCCTAAAACTCATCAAAAAGGGCCTGAAAGGGGGCTAGGAAGCATGCAAGTGAAGGCTCCTTTGAAAGGCCATGAAGAGGGTTACTCTACACATGCAAGATGGAAACTTCATATGGAAAAACTACCTCTGGACAGAGGTCATGCAGGTCATAAAACTCACAAATAATAGCCTGAAACATGGCTTGAAAACATGCAAATAGGGGCTTCTTTGTAAGGCCAAAAAAGCTAGTAAACAAGACAGGGGGTGAGAGGGTCACCCCTCTTTGATTTTGGGGCTCAAAACAGTATGCTAGCCACTAAAAATCCACTGGATTTTAGTAGCTAGAAGGCCAAACAAAGCTCACTTCAAAGGCCTAGATGCATGGCTCAAAACAAGGTGAAAATAAGCATGCAAGGGGGTAGATGACCCCCAACAGAAAAATTGCCTTAAACAAAATTCAATAGGAGCTCAAAATAAGACTTTTTTTAGGTTATGACAAAGCCAAAAAATGCTTGCAAATAGAGCTAAGATATGAAGCAAAACAATGCTCAAAAGAGGGAAATGAGTGTTACCCTTGTAGAGAAGACCTCCAGCAGCTTTTGGACCAAAGTAGCAAACCTTCAACCTCTGAAAATGAGCTCCAAGGTGCTTAGATGGATGATGGAGAGGTTAGGCTAAGAGGTGTAGTGCAATGGTGTAAGAACAATGGAGTTTTGAAGGCCAAATATAGAGATACAAAGGGGGAGTGTATGTATAAGTCTCAACAATTTTTTCTGAACCAGATGAGGGAGGAGGAGCCTCCATCTTATAGAGATTAAAAGCATAAGCTTCTCCAAGAAGCTAAGGGCCAAGGAAATCCCTCCATACACGTGTATGGAGGATAGCCAAAATGCTTGCCAGCTGTGCCAACTGGAAGATACAGCTGTGAGAAAGCAGGTGAAAAGCTGTCGACCAGAAAACTGGTCGATCGGTTACTTTTACTGGCCGGCCTGCTACTTTGGTGGCCGGTAGGTGGTTGTCAAGGCCAAAAAGTGGTCGGTGGGTGTCCAAAATGAAGCCCCAGAAGTTATCTTTCCAATGGCGCCAACCTTGCATTAAAATTCCATCTGTGCAAAAAGTTATGCCTATTTTGGTGAAGCCGCGCAGTTTCGATCCGACCGGATTGATGCCCTACTTCAACCAATCATATCTCCCCCACCCGGACTTGGTTTTAAGAGATTCTTGAGTGTAAAATGAAGCCCCGGAAGTCTTATTTCCAACGGTGGTTGCCTCATAGCTTAAACCCAAGTGCATAGACAGATAAGCCTGATTTAGCGAGGACTGCTCGATTTTCTCTTAGCGATTTATACCTACCTTCTTCTTCAACTTGGTTTCTTCCCTCTTCTCTTCTTTTCTTCAACTCCAAACCCCCAAAGTAAGCTGTTTTGAAAGATTTTTCCAAAATTTCATCTCTCTTTCATTCATTTTCCCTTTGTCCTTCCTCGGTTTATCGAAAAGCGTCACATTTGACAAAATGCGAGCCTCGGAACATCGTAGAAACTTTATTTCAAAAATGTTTTGAAAGAGAGGGTTTTAAGGTCTAAAAACCATCCAAAATAGCTTTGGTACAAAATGGGGTGTGAGGTTTGGATTTGACGCTCTCCTTGCCAAAGAAACCGACCCTTTGCATAGCATAGCCTGCATAACTTTCATCACCAAGGAAGCCATCAGTAGCGCCCAAGTCTTAAGGTCGGTCAAAAATGGGGTGTCTATGGGGGCCGACCAGAAAAGGTGGTCGGCCTGTCACTTTTAGTGGTCGGCCGACCACCCAAAGTAGTTTCCCAAACAAAAAGTGGTCGGCCAGGGGGAATGGTGGTCTCCATACTGAAAGCAAGCCAATGGTGGGGTGGGAAACCATAAAATGTGGCTCAATGACCAAGAAAACCAGTTTTCTGACCAGAAAATCGGCTAGCGGGGAGAAAAGTGGTTTCCAAGGAGAAAGCTGGTCTCCCACCCTTGTACCACCTTCCAAACAAGGAAAATAAGGTTCGTGCCAAGAACGAACCAACACGGATGCAAAACGAGAGTTCAGGAGGCAAGATGCGCGGCCGGGGGCCTCAAAAATTGGCTATTGAGCACAAAAAGTGGCGTATGACCATAAAGTGGTCTCCCGGGCCACAGTGTCCCTCTAGGCAGAGGAAACAAGGTGTGTTCCAAAAAACGTGCCAAACGAAGAATGTTAAGCGGTCCCGAACCGAGGCGCACAGCCAACGGCTCCGAAAATCGAAAACTAGTCTCCAAACGGGAATAGTGGCCTACGACCACGAAAAGTAGTCTACGACTACTGAGAGATGGTCTACAAGACCTCTCCCTCCCTCCGGGAAGAGAAAGCAAAACTTGGTCTGCGGACCGAGTCAAAGTACAAAGGGTCTCGAGGTCTGGAGGCGAGGCTCTCAGCCAAGAACTTCGAAACCTCGAAACAAGCACAACATGCGCAATCACCAAGCGCTCAGTCAGTGACGTCTGAGTCTTAAGGTCGGTCAAAAATGAAGTGTCTACACTTGCGATTTGAGTTTTCTTCACTGTTCTTGGGTCAACTTCATAATTGCGGGATGAGATGGATTGAGGCTGCACTAGAGGTGAATAGTGGTAGTGGCCAGTGGAATTAGGGTTAGGGTTTGGGACATTAGGATTAGGAGGTTAGAGATAAAGATAGAAATAAAATTTTATATTTTGACAAAATTAGAATTAAAAAAAAAAAATGAAAGAGATGGAGGTCTTCAGCAAAAAAGTATGGGTAAATAGCAGTCATTTTGTTTAAAAATGGATAGAGTTGTAGAGGTAGGTAATGTTGGAAGGTTTCACTAGACTTTTTTTTGGAGACTTTAATGTTGGTCTTATTATGTAGACTTATTTAATTTATAAGCCTTACACATTTTTTCACTAATCAATATTTCTAAAAAATGTTAGAGCAAAATAAGGCCATGTTTGTTTGGGTAGATATAAGCTTGGGATTGGACTAATAGTCCAATAAAATTATTAATCCGATGTTTGGTTAAACAATTGAAGTACGGATTAATTATTTTAAATTTGACTATTAATTAAGATAGGATACATAATCTAACGGATTCGTAGTCTTAGGACTATTAGTCATGGGAATGCTAATCCAGTCCGCCCAAACAAACATAGCCAAAGTGTTTTAAAATTTCTTAGTGCATTTAAATCTCCCTAGAATATAGGATAAGTTTGGTAGATTTTGATATGGTCAAATAAATTATTTAATTTATGATTTAATATTCGCATGTCTAGCATACAACTAAAAAAAATCTTAACTTTTAATTTTTCTTTTAGTGATATATTTTTTTTTAAAATCATGTTTTTTCTTTAAATTTTTTCCTCCCACCGTTTTATATAGAAAAATGTAAATAATATTTTATTTGAAAAAATAAAAAAAAAGAGAAAAAACAACTGATTTTGCCTTTCTTTTTCTTTTTTCTTTTTTTTGGTCATTCATGGAGACTTTTTCAAATTTTTTTTTTTTAAAAAACTTTTCTAGTTTGTTTAATTGAATAAAACCCAAAAATATAAAATTTTATGATAACTTTTAAAAAAAGTCCACTTAAAAAAAAAAATCATTAGAAAAACCAAACGAACCCCAAACAAACACTATGCTGGTGGCTCACGGGTGTGCGAAGCAATTATAAGGTATTGGGTCAAAGCTGGGTCGGGTACAGAGTTAGGATCTGGGGTTTAACGGCAGAGTACTGGGTCGGGGTTAAACGTCGTTGGTATCACCGGCGTGAAGTCTACGGCGGCGACACCACCACAAGGTAACGGAGGCGTGACGGTTGTTTCTCGCTAAGTATGAACCCTAATAACCAGCTCGACAATGGCGGAGCTAGGGTTCTTCAAGTATCAGCATAGAGAGACCGATTAAATTTTTCTTGAATTGAATTTATTCACAAAAACGAAGAACACACACACAAAAATGCCTAAGAAACAACAGCAGCAACAACAACAACAACTGATTGTTGTGATTGAAGGGACAGCGGCCTTGGGTCCTTACTGGAGCACCATTGTGGCAGATTACTTGGAAAATATCATCAGGTTTAGTCTGCTATATTATTATCATTATATCTGCAAAACTAAGCATTTTTCACAAAATATTACAGATTTGGTGTTATTAGACTGAATTATCATGATACTTCTTGTGTGTGTCTTTGATCCTTACTTTTGATTACTGTTTTCATAGTTTGATTTTTGTTTTTTAATAATTCAGGATTGGTTGTTTTTGTTTGTTGTGGCTGATTATGATGTGGATAGATAGACTTGAACTTGGGTTTTTCTTTGTATAAAAGATCTATTTGTTAACTTTGATCATGCATAAATGACAATTGGAGTATTTCTTTGCTAATATTAATAGAATGGATCATGCATAAATGACAATTGGAGTATTTCTTTGCTAATATTAATAGAATGTTGCTTTATTGATTCATTCATTTAATTTTTGTTTTTGAGTTTAGATTGTGGATTCTGGTGCATCTGGTTTTTTATTTTTTTTTCAATCAATAGGAGAGTAATTAGTAATTACAATATTACATCATCAAATAGACTATTAGCTCATAATAGTTAGAAAGTCAACAAAGCCAGCTCACCTAACAACTAACAACCACTCGACTACTAACATACAAGCCCCAATGGGGGAGAAATAAGCAGTATATACTACCACAGTCTCCATAGGAGTTAAACCTAAGACCTCACACCACAAAGGGTGTTGCACGACTACTAGGCCAAATGCCTTGTCTGCATATTGTGATGAAACTGTCTTTGTATTGAAATTGAATATGTTTTTTTATTAAAAAAATACTCCATATAATGCTATTTCTTACCTTATTTCCTTACTCCAAAACACAAGTGAGTGGCTCCCACGTGTATTTATGATGTGGGCCTCATTGCTTTGTGTTTATGAGTGAGAAAATGAGATAGTAAATATGTCAACAAAGCCAGCTCACCTAACAACTAACAACCACTCGACTACTAACATAAGCCCCAATGGGGGAGAAATAAGCACTATATACTACCACAGTCTCCATAGGAGTTAAACCTAAGACCTCACACCACAAAGGGTGTTGCACGACTACTAGGCCAAATGCCTTGTCTGCATATTGTGATGAAACTGTCTTTGTATTGAAATTGAATATGTTTTTTTATTAAAAAAATACTCCATATAATGCTATTTCTTACCTTATTTCCTTACTCCAAAACACAAGTGAGTGGCTCCCACGTGTATTTATGATGTGGGCCTCATTGCTTTGTGTTTATGAGTGAGAAAATGAGATAGTAAATATGATTATGTAAAGCATTGCTCTTTTTTATTTTTTATAATAACAGCCCCGATTGGATTTTTGTTCACATGGATGGTTATGAGTTGTATTTGAAGGATCTTTATCGCTTGAATAACTAAATTTATCAGGTTTTATGTAAAACTTTTTGAAGGATCTCAATTCATCACTCAATGCAACTAAAATAACAAGTGAAAATTTGTCCTGCAATAAAAGTGAGAGAATGCCTTAGCTGTTTCTTCAATATCTGACACTATGGTGTCTTTTGCAAAGGTGGAGATTGTGATCATCACATAAAAGAAAATTAATGTATAGCTCCGCTTAAATTTGTACGTAAAGGATGAATATCTTATAATTTTATTTATTTATTATGCCATTTCATGTTTCTGCTTTTGTTTAATTTAATTTATAGGATTTTATTGCAATTGTCTTGGATGATTATCTTGTCCATACCAAGATTGGGGTTGCTACATTAATTTCATCATGGAAGAGGATCCTCATTAATTTTGTCTTGGAACTAGAAGAGCAACTGTGTTTTCATCTGGTAGAATTAAGAGAGGGAGAGAGATTGTGTCTGTCTTTATTGATTCAAGTTTTGCAATCAGTATTGTGTCGGGGTCAGTTCTTTTTTCAAAAAAAAAAAAATATTTTCCTTCTCTTTTTGGTCATTTTGTGTTTATCTATAGATCTTCACAATTTTAGATTATTATTTGCTTGATCAATTACTATGAATATTTCAAGGGTTTGTATCTGAAGATCTCCTTTGTTCTAATACAAGAAACTAAAATAACAAATATAAATTCCCTTTGGTAGAAGTAGAACTGAGGGAGAATATATCAAGGGTTTGTATCTAAGGATCTCATTTGATCTAATTCATAAAACTAAAATAACAAATATAAATTCCATTTGGTAGAAGTAGAACTAAGGGAAAATCTATTTTTCTTGTCTTGCTTGTAGGGTTTGATGAGTTTCTTGACGTTGAATTGTTGCTACCGGGGATCGACCTCTCTTACCTATTTGTATATTTATTATCTTATCTATTTGTATATGTATTCTCTTTCTTTCGGCTGCAAGAGTAGATAACTTACTAATACAATACAATACCCCTATTTGCAAAATTTGTTAGTTATGTTGAATTGCTGTCATGTTGTTGATCAAAGTCCTACTATTGTTGACTTTCTCTAGTGAGCCAAGATCTTTTGAATGTCTAATATCATTAGCCTGTCTCTTTTTGGAAGGGAATTCTGTGAAAAGAATATGGATTGCCAATTCTTGCATTTGCTTGTGGTGATTATTTATACATTGGAAAGTCAAATTACAGATTCAAAATCAACCTTCCTTTTTGTTGTTTATAACCATTTTATTGAAATAGGCATCAGAGGAGTGCAAGCCCTTTGCTGCCACTATACCTCCCCAAAATCAAAGCATGTAGAAAATCAACAATTTCATTCTTGTTACTGGTTATAAAAAGCAGAAGTGCATTCCCCTTTGATTGATAGGGGAATGGATGGTGAGCATGGAAAGAAGAAAAAGAGTAAATTTGGAATTTCACATGGAGTATGTTTAGGACATCATTGATTGAAGCTTTGGATTAATAATATTGAGGGCTCAGGCTATGGCTGTTTGTGATTAGGGCTGTAGCGCTTGTGTTCTTCTCTTCTCTCTTCTTTCTCTCTTTCCGTTCTACAGTAAACTGATTTAGGGCCGCTTGCTGGATATTCAAAATAGAAGCCATATAAGGCCTAAACACTGTATAAATATTTATATATAGAGAAAGCATTCTTGGTGTTGAATCTATATAAATATTTTTCTTGTTTCACTTGTAGGTTTTGTCTTGGTAAGCAGTGAGTAATTTAGGGTTTGAATGGTTAAATTGAAGGCTAATAGGTAGGAGGGGGAGTTAGGGTTGATTTGGGATGATTGCATAGGGTTTTGGGGCTGAAAAATGAACTTTTTGATGGTTGTGAATAGTAATCCGAGAATAGTATTTGGATTATTTGCTCAAAGAAAAGAAGAAAGACAAGGAGAGGAAGAAGAGAGGGAAAGAGGTTCTTCACTCTTGTACACTCTTGTAAGGGTACAATTTCAAATTTTCATTAATTTAGCTCTTCATTGAAACTAAAGATTACATCTATATTTATAAGGTGCTAGCATTTCTGACTTCTACAAGGAATAGGACACTAATATTAGAAACTAAGAATATTTGATAACTACAAAAATTCTAGACCAACTAGGACTCCAAATAAAATTCAAATAATATTACTTGACCCGCAAGGTAATCAATGGATTCTGTCTAGCACTCAGGAGCATCTTTATTTGCACATCACCCTTTTTCTCAGTGCACACCATTATTTTTGTTCAGATATCAACTACTGAACGAAAATCAATTGTTCGGATATCAAGTATTGAGCTTGGTTTTATTTTAATAGCTGATATCTGAACCATGTATTTTTATTCAAAAGTTGATATTTGAAAGAAAAAATGGTTTGAATTGAGAGGTTTTGTGGTGTGCAAAATAGAAGCTCCCCTATTACTCATATCCAACAATTATTGAAATTACTATAGTGCCCCTAACTACTGAAACCTACTATAATGTCATAGAATATGTCCGACATACTGAATAAAAGTAAGTACAAATAAATACTCAATTTTTTTTTGAAATTTCTATCCATGATGTCCTAAACATGCTTTATGTACAAATAAATACACCATGGTACATCATTCTGAATATTTCTTGTCAACTCATCTATAACTAAAGTAAAAAGATAAAGACTTAAGGTAGATCCTTAGTGTTAGTGGATGAGACTAGAGAAGGAATTAACGCAAAATTGGAGATTTGGAGAGAAGCACTTGAATTTAAAGGATTTCGGATAAGCAAAACTAAGACAGAATACATGGAGTGTAAATTTAGTAACAGTAACTGTAACAGTAACAATGAAAGCAGGAGAGAGGTGAAGATTGAGAACCAAAAACTACCTAAGAGTGTACATTTTCGTTATTTAGGGTCGATTATCACAACGGCGGAGGAGATTGATGCGGATGTGGTCCATAGAATAAAGGCAGGGTGGCTAAAATGGAGAAGTGCGTCTGGGGATATGGTGCGATTAACGAGTACCCACTAGACTAAAAGGAAGGTTCTATATAATAGCTATTAGACCAGTGATGTTGTATGGGACGGAGTGTTGGGCAATCAAGAAACAACATGTAGATAAGATGAGTGTTGCTGAGATGAGGATGCTAAGTTGAATGTGTGGCAAGACTAGAAAAGACAGAATTAAGAATGAGTATATTCAGGAATGGGTAGGAGTAGCACCGATAGAAGATAAGTCAAGAGGGAATAGATTGAGATGGTTTGGTCATATTTAACGGAGACCAACAGAGACAGTAGTGAAGAGATGCGATGCAGTGATGGTAGATGGAAGCGTTAGGGGACAGGGTAGACCTAGATTGACGTTGACTAGTGTAGTAAATAGAGATATGAATCTACTTAATTTGACTAATGAAATGGCCTTTGATAGAGCCTCGTGGAGAAGAAAGATTCATGTATCCGACCACATTTGATGGGACTTAAGGCTTGGTTTGGTTGGTTGGTTGGTTTCTTCTTTCCACGCTCGCGGGCATCCTTTGCCTTGCTGTTTGGCATGTTGCATCTATCTACTTTGAAAAACCTACCTAGGAAATTGTGTAAGCATTGGATATTGTGATTGAGAGAAATATGTGAATAGGCATCTCAAGTAACTTTCCTTTCTCAATCAGCATTTGAACCAACTTTTTACCTGATATTATTATTGATCTCAACAAAATTGTTAATCAATATATGTGGTTACACTTGATACAATATTTTATTGACCTTTTTAAGTTATTCTATTTATTCTTTGGCTCCTCTTTTGGAGGATAAGAAGGTTTGGGCTCTTCATACATCTGGAGTATTTTCTTGTAAGTCTTTTTTTGACAAAATCATCGATACTCCTCATGTTCCTCAGCTTCCTTTTTGCAAAAGAATTTGGAAGGCTTGTGTTCCTCTAAAGGTGAAGGTGTTCATGTGGGCCTTGGTTCATGGAGGCATTTTGACAAATGATACATTGCAGAAACGAAGACCTAATCGCTTTCTGAATCCTCAGTGGTGGATTCTGTGTTGTAAGAATGGAGAATCCGTGGATCATTTGTTTCTGCATTGCCCCAATTGCTTTGAATTTATGGCACAAATTGTTTTTGTTGGGGAATGTTATGTGGGTAGTCCCAAAAGGGAGTGAGCATATGCTCCAAGTTGACTTTCACGCTTTCGGAGGATTGAAGAGAGCCAAAATGCTATGGTCTTGTGTGGTCTTTGCAACTTTTTGGGTTCTATGGATTGAAAGTAATGTGAGGGTATTTGAAGATAAGTTCCGGGAGGTGGATTGTTTGTGGGATAGTGTTTGCCACTCAACTTCTTTTTAGGTTTCGGGGAATCCTTTATTTAAGGGGTCCCACTTTTTTTTTGTTAGTTAAAGATTGGTTGGCGGTGTGTGATACGTAAGCTTTTGCTTAAGAGTATCTTGTTAGGGTTTTGCGTTGTGTTTTCTCCTTTTCTTTTGTAAGAGGTTGCCTCATCCTCGCTTACTTTTTTGATTTATCAATAAAGTCCTTTGTTGTAGTTCCAAAAAAAAAAAAAGTTTTTCTATTTATTCTGATTCAATGTATAATTATTATTATTTTTTTGGGTCAGCCCACATATGAGATTCTAACATTATTTAGTAGTTGAATAATAACTGCAAATGACACTTTAGTAATTAATATATTTTCATTTTATTTATTGTTGATTTTGTGCAGGTCTTTTTGTGGTAATGAAGTGTCGGGACAGGTACACCACATTTTTCATTGTACTTTTGTTTTTGAAATTTAACAATGCTTTCTCTATGTATTTATATATGTATGTAATCCAGAAGGCATTTTACTTGTGTTTTTATGTTTATAGAGTTGATTTCACTGCACATGCCAAGAAAGCTAATTTGTTCAGCTATTTCCTTAGCAGAATACTATTCCTTCAGGACATAATAGCATGTTGGCATCTCATCTTATTTGTTTACGTTGCTCGATATATATCTCGGCCTTTTGTTATTCCATAAATATCAATATAAGTTATTCCACAAATATCAATAAAAGAAAAAAAAGTTCTTATATACATACTTTTTCTAAGAAAAGATTTAGCTAGCTATACCCAAAAAAAAAAAAAAAAAAAAAAAAAAAATATTCTTAGAATTAAACCAATCAAACATATTATTGAGAAGGATTGTTTATTTGACCTCACTTTGGATGTCAGTAACTACAAGAATTGGACGGACTTAATTTGCAAAATGTCTTTAGTGCATGCAAAGAACAAATATGCTTAACTTGGTTAAGTATCAATGCCATAATTTGATTTTATGCCATGATGGCAGAATTTACTCTGAAAAATGTTTTTCTACTTAAAATCAATTTATAGAGTTCTGCACCTTATAGAAATGCTATTAGTTTCTGGTGCACTATTGCAAATCAATTCTTTTTATATCTAGTCTTTGAAATACAACTCATGAATTAATCCCTTCATAGTTCACAACATGTTAGGTTGAGTAGCTCTCAAGCAAGTCTGTTTTATTTTGAATTATTGATGGTTAGAGGACACAATTCCACTTTCATAATACTGGATTACCCCAACTTCTCCTTGTTACACGGTCTTGGATAGAACTCAACACAAAAAACTAGCTATTGAGGTGCGGGTGCCCTCAGACTTGTATACTTCACATTGCTTTGAAACTAGGCGATGTGGGATTTTGTTTCATACCTTCCTCATGTGCAGCTTGCTTACTTAGCAACACCTATTGCGTGTAGGCCAGGGACATGCACTCTACCCATCCTTGGGTATTTTGGCTCTGATACCATCTTACATAGTCTTTGACAAAACTCAATTCCAAAAACTAGCTGTTAAGGTGAGGGTGCCGTCACGCTCCTATACTTCACATTACTTTCGTACTCAGGCGGTGTGGGATTTTCCTTAACCTCCTTGAAAGCGCCTTTCCCAAGATCTTATATATGGAAGTGACCAAACTAATAGGCCTAAAATTCTAAATCTTCACAGAGTTCTTTTTTGATATCAAGCAAATGTAAGAAGCATCCGTACACAAATTCACTACTCCCCTGTCATAAAACTCTCCCAAAATACTTACCAAGATCCCTTTCACCGCCTCCTAACGATCTTGAAAGACTGCCATAGAGAACCCATTCGGGCTAGGAGCTTTATCTCTCTCACAATCAAAGACAACCTCTTTAATCTTCATCTCCTCAAATGATCTCTCTAACCATTTGGCACTATCTTCATCAACAAGTCTCCAATCTAGACGCTCAATTCTTGGTCTCTTAATCCCCCTATCCGAGTAAAGATTTGCATAGATATTATAAATCTCATTGCATATTTGATCCTTCTTATCTACAAACATTCCTAGATTTACCTCGAGCCTCTTATTGAACTTCTTCCTTTTCCCATTTGCAACCTTATGAAACAACTTGGAGTTGATATCACCCTCCTTGACCCATCGTATTTTGGCCTTTTGAGTCCAAATTTTTTTCCTTAATCATTTCTTCAAACTTTGCTTTTAATTCAATCCTTTCATTCCTCAAATTTCCGTCCAAACCATCCTTCACCTCAATATTATCCAGCTTTTGTATTTTGGGTGAACTCGTTTTCCCTCTTGCTAAGGTCACCAAAAACCTCTCTATTTCACTCCTCAGTCTCTCCTTCATCATTTTCAATTTTCTCATGAATTTGAAACCCTTCCATCCCTGGCAACTACAACTTCTCCACCAATCCAAAAAATTGTCTTTAAAAGAATGATGCTCTTCTAACCACATATTTTCAAATTTGAAAGGTGATGGTCCCCATTTAAACAGACTACTCTCAATAACAACATGACAATGATCAGAAACAATTATTGGAAGTAGCTAATAATAAGTTTTTGATCATTTGAGATTGTAATTTTTAGAGCTTAAGCAATTGTACCCTAGATGGGATTTTCTTTCTCTAACATGCAAGTTCTTGATTTGATTGCATCACCCATTGGTAAGCTTTGCGTATGTTGCAAGTAATATGGACAAAAAGGGAAAAGGTAAAAGAAAAAATAAAACATCTATTGCTTATATTCTATTTCACCAAAAACCCAGTTACTTTTAAATCTATTTATTTATCTAATTTGTTGTTTCCAGCTTTTGACTCACAAAATTGTATACTGTTATTATGTACAATATGAACCCACCATAAAGCTTGCAGAGTTCTCACATTATAGGTTTTCTGTCTAACAGATGTGATAATTCATACAACATCCATGTATCCACATATTATTTATACTTAGAAAATATGAGGAAGAAGAACTCCAAAAATATGAGGAAGAAGGAATATATTTCTGTTATATTCAAAACTTCTTATTTTACAAGACCAAATGACACTCCTTATATAGGAGATATTACAAACATCATTATAACCCATTATATGCCACTTACATATTATATATTACCACTATCTACCACTATCATATTATATACATGCCACTATCTACCACCAACACCACTATCATATTCTATACATGCCACTATCTACCACCAACACCACTATCATATTCTATACATGCCACTATCTACCACCAACACCACTATCATATGCCACTATCTTATTATATGCATTAACACAAATTTCCAGCATTTATTTATTAATTTTTCATAGAAAGAGCTTTTATTAAAAATATATTTGATATATCCATTGTTGTCAAATTCGCGAATCATGAATCGTTTTGCTAAATCATATCAAAATTGTGAATCGTAATATTTTTTAATATTTAATATGATATATAATTTTATATATTTATATACATAAAAAAATACTCCGTGTTTAAAATAAAATAAATTATTAATATAACTAAATTGTGTATATGTATACATATAAAATCATGTATATCAATATAACTAATTAATCTCTTCTATATATCTTGATGAGTTGGCGAAAACAACACCGTTTCATGCATTATGTAAACAAAAACAAAAATAGAACTGAATTATAGTGAATCACAAAGAATCATAGTGAATCGTACAATTCACTCAATTTTGAATTCAACAACACAATTCAAATCGTTTTGCTGAAACTCATATCGAATTGTATGAATTGAATCATAGATCCTACAATTCTAACAACCATGGATATATCCATAATTAAAAAATAGCCATTGCTATATCATGATATTTTGTAATATATTTTTGATAAGTTGTGGTTTTTCAAGCTTTGCAAAATATTGTATCACAACTCAGTGATTTATGATATATTGATCATCTAAGAAGCACGGACACGGACACGTGACACGACACGAGTACGACACGGACACGCTGACACGTTAATTTTCAAAAAATGTAGGACACGACACGTGAGGGACACGCATGAAATATGTAATTTTATATATTTATTATATGTTATATATATGAATATATCATTAAAAAGATAATAAAAAATACAATATGATACTAATTCCTATAAATTTATATAGTTTTTGTTTTATTATTGTATCTTAAGTTGTTTTGTTCAAACTTATAATTAATTTCACATATGTCTAATCGTTAGACACTTGTATTTAAGCGATGGACACATATGTCCTTCAAGTGTCCAAAGAGTGTCCAAGTCTTTAAAAAAATTTAAAAAATAGGACACGTTTTGAAGAGTGTCGGACACGTGTCCTGAGAGTGTCCAAAGAGTATCGGTGTCCGACACGGATACGACACGAATACGTCACCTTCTTAGAAGTGTCCGTGCTTCTTAGTTGATCATTATATCTTGGATGAAATCTTACTTCCCAAGGGGACATCTCATAAGTGCCCAATCAAGGCTTGAGCCAGGGTCCTACTGCGCCTTTTATACACTTAGTAATGACCATACCATTTATCTCCATCACTGTGTCTTTGGAATAACATCCATCTTCACCACTAGTCTTGTTTACATCTTTGATGCAACATAAGACAGGTTATAGGAAATACTAAATAAAAAAGACAGGTTATAAAGGAAATACAAGCATCAGCAAATCAGAAACTTCACTGAGAAGGAGATCATTGTGGAATTAAAAAAAAAAAAATGGATTGGAACATGTAAATATCAGCAAGGTCGCTAAGGTTTCCAAAGAGATCAAAGAGAGAGAACAATATAAGATAGAGAGGGAACCAGATAAAACTATCGGCAGTTTTCTGGAGGAGCTTGAACACTATTCTGAACCTCGTTATATGTAATGTACTGCAAATGGAGTAACTGAAGAGCCCTCGTTGAAACAAGTTATTGACTCGAATTATTCAGCATTTGGATGTAGCGTGTATTTCTATAAAAAAAATCCATGCCTTTGCTCATAGGGAAGCATTCTTTGCCTTGCATATGTAGTGGTCTTACATCTAGGAATTCTTTATTTAAAAAAAAGTTTGTGAACTCCCTTCTTTAAATTTACAAGTTTCTAGCTTGACCATAATTTCTTTCTTCTTATTATATATCTCTTTTTATGTATTCTTGTAAATACAGAAGCCATCTTCTTCTGTTGCGGAGCTCTCCCTAGTCGCGTTTAATGCTCATGGATCTTATAGTGGTATGTTTTATTCCCTCTAGTTTTTAGCTTATTATGGCCCTGTTTGGTAGAGCTGTGGGAAAGTGCTTATAGCTTATGCCTTAACAGCTTATAGCTTATAACTATGAACATAAGCTGATTTCTGACTTATAAATTAAGCATCTCCTGCCCCACTCAAAGAATAAGTTGATTTCTGACTTACAAAAAGTTATAAGCTGCATTGTTAAGCTAAACCAATCACATCAAAATAGCTTAAATTAAACTGAAAGTTGAAATAAGCAGCTTTTAAGCTGCACCAAACAGGCACTATATATACCTCTTTTTATGTATTCTTTTAAGTGCACTTTTCCCAAAATTTTATCCAGTCATGCACAATTCAACCATTTATGGTGAGGTGAAGTCAGAGTTACCTATTGGCATTCAATGTAACCCTTAAAAGACTAAATTACTTACATTTTCAGGCCATTAAATAGTTCTTATTCTGAAAATCCATTTAGCTGTCCTACATAGTATGTAATACATACATCAAGTGTTTTATCTTCTTGTTGTGATCCTTGAATCTTTTGTCTTTCATGTTATTTGAAGAAAGGTTTTGAAAACCAGACTGGACCGGACCGGTCGGTCCAACCAGTTGGCCCATCAACCGGCTCAATTTCTGGTCCAGATAGCCCAAATAACCGTTTTGCTTATAAATTCATGTTGGCCTGCTGCGACCCGCTTGAACGGCACGCCTTAATGAACTGTTGGGTTTGAAAGAAGCATTCTAAAATATTATGATGGTAGGAGGATTTGAAGCTCTAACCTTCACAAATTATTGTGGCATGCTATCCACCAAACCATTCATACACTTGTTGCTAATTATGCAAAAAACAAATAATATTATATCTTTTTTTCAGTTTTTTCATTTTATTTTATTATATACAAAGACTTTCTTTCCTTCTAACTTAACTTTTTATACAAATATATTATAAAATTATTTATGACATAATTATGACATAACGGTTTAATTATGGTACACCCAAAACCATTGACTTGTTTGCCCGATCACTCTTTCGGTTCGCTCACCAGTCCAGTTTTCAAAACATTGATTTGAAGCTTAAGTCGCACTCAGCCTATGATTTGCGTGAACTTCTGTTTATCTTCTCTATAATCTTTTGCTTTAGTAATATACAATTATGCATATAATTTTGTGTTGTGACTTAATATTCTCGTTTCCTAGATTTGCTAACAGCGCCCCCTCAACCCCTGCCCTAATCCATAAATCTTCATCCTTGATGCAGCTTGTTTAGTACAGAGAACTGGCTGGACAAGAGATGCTGATATTTTCTTGCAGTGGCTATCTGCATTACCCTTTGCTGGTGGAGGTTTCAATGATGCTGCTATTGCGGAAGGACTTGGTGAAGCTATAATGGTGTGTTGTGTTGATTATGTTACAACTTCTTATATGCACTTGACATTTTAGTTTTCTAATTTAAGCACTGGTCAATTTGATGGCCCCTTAATTGCATTTTGTCCTAGTTTTTGTCCACATTTATATATAATTTCAAGCTCCTCTTTTTTAACTAGAACATTTTACTTATAATGAATTCTATTTAAAGGTAGAATAAATTGATTCATGTGAAATCTATGTTGATTTTCAGTATCTAATGTCTATATTCCTGTAATTTCCATTTTACTTATAATGAACATTTCCAAAGTTTCCTGCTGCTGCTTAGCAGATACTTTCCTATGTGCACTTGTTAAACTCTATGTTCATAGTTATTCTGATGTGTCATGTAGATGCTTTCTCCTCCAAGTGGAAGCCAAGCCCAACAAAATGTGGATGGACAAAGGCACTGCATTCTGATTGCAGCAAGTAATCCTTATCCCTTGCCCACACCAGTTTATCGACCCAAGCTGCAGAATTTGGAACAGGGTGAAAACATGGAGGCTCAAACGGAAAGTCGTTTGTCAGATGCTGAGATGGTTGCCAAATCATTTGGTCAGGTAATAGAGTTGTTCTTTATTTGTTTACCGACGATGGTTTTATGTTTGTTGCAGACCACCAGTCAGCTGACCATTACTTTTCCATGCAGTGTTCTGTTTCTCTGTCAGTCATTTGTCCAAAACAACTTCCAAAACTTAGAGCAATCTACAATGCAGTAAGCATGGAAATTTCAGTTGAACTTTTAATTTATTTGTGTTACCTTATCTAGAGTTTGTTAGATGAAGTAAATATGCATGTTTATGTGAACTGACAATTGCAATATGCTTGCTTAGTTGAAATGATTTTTGTATGCCAGCTACTCTCTTTGAACTTCACTCAATGTTTTATTTCACTGCAGACTGTAATTAGAGAACTAGGCCATTAGATGCTTTTGTGTCTGTTGACACGTGGAAGGACAGTTGGAAGTAGTGGTCTATTTTCTTCATCAGTCTCGATAGAGAACACTAATTCACTGAGTAATAATCATTTAAAGACATATAGGTGTTTCATGAGGCATTGTCCTGCCATTTCAAGCCTACACAATGATTTCCATTTATTCATGATGGTGCCATGGTGGTAAGAGCTTCTACATTTTCTATGGTGGTAAGATCATCTGACCAGCAGACGATGGTCAAATCTGAGCACATTGTGCAGTACATTTATGGTGAGGTGAAGTCAGAGTGCACTCAATGCCCCAATACTTTGTTCCTTCATGTTAGTGTCTTTTATATCATATTCTTTTGTGTCGTTCCAATACAATATTCAATAAATCCTTGCTGGATCAGTTACATCTAAGTTTCCCTATAACTCCACCTTAAAGTTGAGAGGACCTTTTATCTGCATTTTACATCTCCTTACGACATTCAAGCATTAAACTTTTGAATTTGGAGTACATTAAACATCTCCAAAAGACGCCCTTAATCACTTTGCTTCCTGGCCTATTAAACCTAGTTGCAATCTTGGTTTTGGCTTCACTCATGAAACCTGCTGGAATTTTTTCCTCTGCCTCCTAAAAACAACATTTGTGTGGGAATATTTATGGACTTAATGCTGCATTTGGAATGTGGAGAAGGATTAGGGGGATTAGATGTTCCTGAACAACTAGCTCCCAAACATCCAATTCAGGACTATGCACACCTGTTTCCAGCCTTATCTAGTGTCTGGTTGCTGCTAGGTTATGGTTGGCCCCACAATTTTTTAAGGTTGGATCTTGCGCCAAGTCTTATCCTGGGATAAATAATCCACCCCTGTGGAGGAAGGGGGAGAGAAAATAAATTCCTTTAGGCTGCTAAAAGGTAGGGATCGATTCGTTATGTTGTTGGTTATAAGTCAAACACTCCATGTGTTGTAATGATAATGACTGCACTCCCAATTGAAAGTACATGGGCCAAATGTTGACTGTGCAACTCACAGATAAGGATACAAATCGAAGAATATTTTTTTTTGTCTTTTTTGTATAGATAGATGGTTGTCGGGGGAGGTCAATTCATCCTTGGACCAATTTTTAGATTTTTTAGAGGCCTTTTGATAAGGTTTTTGAGGCATATTTGCTATAGGTCTTCTTTTCCAGGTTGTGCACCCCCTTTGTCTTTTTCAATAATTTTTTAATTAAAAACGAAAAGAAAAGATAAGATCAAGGTTCTGAAAAGCGGTTGCGGTCGCCGTAACGGTAGCGGTGGCGCGGTTGCGGTTGCGGGGTATAAAGGCCATAGTGTAACGGTTGCGGTAGCCGGAACAGTGAATTTTTTTATTTTTCGCACAATTTGAAAAAAACTTACCGATACGCATATTTTTTTTCCATGATCATATTTATTGGGTTAAAAATAAATATTGACTAATTTTTGTAAATTTTTACGTATGATCCAATATATTTCATATTTTTAAATCACTATAAACTTAGTTTTTTACATTTTATTTTAATAATTAATAACTTTATATTATACAAAAAATCAATCACTAACTATTATATATAAGATAAACAATGACAAAAGTAAGAGAATAAATAAGAGCCTATATATATATATATACACATATTTTAACCAAGCTAAATAGTTAATGACCACACTTATTATTATTATTATTTTCAAACAATATATAGATAGACACAAACAAACAAAATGGTTGAATGATAGCAGTTGAATAGAATAACATAGGTCTTATAGCTTCAACAAATCAATAACATGTTCTTCATCTTCCCTCTTCTTTCTCTTTCTCTATCTCTTGCTCCATTTTCTCTCTTTATCTTCCCTCTTCTCTCTATCCCTCTTTCCCCATTTTCAGCTTTTTTTTTTGTGTTTTTTCGAAAGAAACAGTTTGAAACCGTTACGTAACAGTGCGTAACAGGCCGTTACAGCTGTTACGGCACCGTCACGACCGCTACGGCAGCCGCTACGGCCGACACACCTGTGAATCTCAATCACTCTGCAAAAACGGCCGTAACGGGTGGCGGTAACCGCCAAAACCGTTACGTAACGGCGTTACGTAACGGTTGCGGCCGCTTTTTAAAACCTTGGATAAGATGCATTGAAGATAAAGATGAAGTAAAATCTAGAGTTGTAGTGCTGTGGGAGGGTGGGTTAAAGTTCGAAGAAAAATAAATGTATTGCAGCCTGTTGCAACTTTATTTATTGTGTACAGATACAAATGAAAACTCCTATTCTATTAAATGTTGACAACAGCTTCAAATGCAGAAAACTTATCTTTGAGAGGTTGGGTGCTTCAGGGGTTCATGGGTCTTTGATAACCAGGTTTCAATATTCTATTGGCATCATATTGATAATGGCTTCCTGAGAAGACCTTATTATAACCAATGGGTTGGTGTGGTATTTTATGTGCCTTGGTGTAAAGATTTCATTAGACCTAAGATTGTTTACTCTGAAGCCTCTAATGTAGTGTCTAGTGGCATTCAATGTGTCATTTGAAAGCTTAAAAGATAATAACTGAATGTCAAGATTATTGTTTGAATTGGAGACAAATGGTAAAACAAATTTTGAGCTATTGTCTTCTAATCCCAGCAACACTTTAATTAGACTCTGCAAAAACCTCCAATTTTCTTTCTTAAAGAATTATTTTGAAACTTAAATTGCTTCAAATTACTATTTACTTAACAGCAAATACTTGAGCCGTACCTGAGTCCTTAGATGAGAATTTTCAACAAGTTCTTGATTGAACTTGCCATCCAAGCACACCCATAATCCAGTGCCTAATTGATATTCTGGTGCAATATCTTTGTCCTTCATTAATGCTATAGACCTTCAATATTTGCTTGAATTTTCTTTTCCTTTTTTCTGTTAGTCCTTGCAATGGTTGACATCTAATGGCCATTATTTCAAGTAATATACAAAGTTTCTTTGCTGTCTATGTATATATAAACATTTATATATACATTATTTGAAGTCAGGTGTCTCAATTTGAAACTGTTTATGAGGCCCCAACCCCTCAAGCCTCTGGGGGATCCCCTTATTATATAAAATGATTTTACTACTGCTTACTCTGCATACTTGATGAGGGCATTCAGGTGACTTTATCCTCTTTGTCATTGTAGGGGAAACGCAATCCTCGAGCAACAGATCCGCCTGTTGACAATGTTAAAAATCCTCATTTTCTTGTTCTAATATCAGAGAATTTCATGGAGGCTCGTGTTGCTTTAAGTCGGCCTGGAACCACAAATTTAGCACCCAATCAGAGTCCTGTAAAGCTGGACATAGCTTCAGTTCCTCCAGTTTCAGGGCCACCTTCAACTTCTGTTCCTCCAGGTTTGCATGCTGAACTCACTTGTTTACATCTATTTGATGTTTACTCTTTTTTGATAACCAGGGATGGTTAATAATTCGCAAGATCTTTTAGGTTGCTAGATCATGTGTATAAAAAGATAAAAGGATGGAAGAATTTGTGTCAATCAAACTTTCACGTGGCATAATTTGTTTAACCCCTTAACTTAAAATTTTAACCATTTACTAACTAGCCTCAATTTCTTAAATCGACCGAGTCATCCCTTTCTAATATGCTAACAGGGGATGCATGTTGCTAAGTTTGGTAGATTACCAGCAGTTCTTTTCCATGTATTATAGTTGTACATTCAGAGAACTGATCCTTTAATTGGCCTGCTCAAAGTGTGTTGATTGGTGGATGGCATTGACAATGTGAGAAAACTACATCTTCAAATTTTGGTGTAGGTTTTTTTTGGGAGCATAAGTGTTTCATTGTCCATGCACAAAATTCCATTTTGTCTAGCTAGGAACTTGTGCTGAAAGAAATTTTTGTCCAAACTATTTAGGTTGGCTACACAAATCCTGATTCTTTTTAGGGTCACAACATGATGTTCTCTCATTCCCTCACCTGTCTTTTTTAGTCATCCTTTGCCCTTGCATCACCTTAAGTCCAATCTTGACAAGCCTTCATACTGTTGCAATTATTGGTCTTCACTGCATATAGCGAAAAACTGTGGGGCAATTTTGCTCATCTCGTTCGTAACTGGTAAGTTCTACATGATGTGATCTGTCCTGTGTGTGTATATGTACGTACATTTATTTTCTGATATTCATGTCCACTTTTTGAATTTCTTTCTCTGAGATTTTTTTTAGTGCTTGATGTTTTAATCTTTTGGCACAAAACTATTATTTTATACATGGGTAGTAGAAGAAATGAATTATTTGGATTATGGAAAAGACCATTCATATGGTGGAGAGTGCTTGATTTGGCAATGGTAGATTGGGTGTTATCCTCTTCGTGTGTTCTTTGTGATGATTTCAGGCATTTTGGTTCTAATATGATGGCTTGGGTTCTATGAAAATGTGTAGTTTGTGCGGTGCTATGGAGATTTGGTTGGAAAGGAATTCTAGAATTTTTAGAGAAAATCAGATAATGTCAGGGCTTTGTTGGATAGAATTTGTTATTGGGCTTCCCGCTGGGCTTTGGTTGCTCGTAGTTCCATGTCTTGTAGTTTCAAGGGCATACCCTTATTTCTGATTGGTAGAGATTGGACAACTGTGCGTGATATGTAATTTTCTTTTTTGGTCCCTTGGGGTGGACTTCTTGTCCTCACACTCTTTCATCTCTCTTTTCCTTCTATTATAATTAAATTTTCTTTGTCGCCAATAAGAATATCTTGGAATTTTTTTTCAAGTTTGATATATATATACATATATATATACTACCCCCATGGAACATCTGTAGAAAGGCCATAAAAATAAGAGGCTTTGCTTATATTGTATAGGCAGTCGTAAAATTAGCGATAAGCTAGCACCATTGCCACTGATGAAAACTTGTCAATAATTTTCTTGGTGGAATTCTTACATTTTCCTTTGTTATCTCAGTAAATGGACCTATCATGAACCGGCAGCCAATCTCCGTTGGAAACATCCCCCCTGCAACTGTCAAAGTTGTAAGACTCATAACTTCCTTATATATTTATTTTTGCTTGCGGCAAAAAAATAAAGGTGGTTTGCATTATGAATTTTGTACTGTAGAGCTCATGATCTCATAACATACATGTTCAGGAACCCAGCACTGTTGGTTCTATGGTATCTGGTCCTTCTTTTCCACACATGCCGTCTGTTCCTCGAGCGGCTTCTCAAGTAGTCCCAAGCTTGCAGGCATCTTCACCAATATCTGCTTCTCAAGAAATGATTGCAAATAATGATAATATGCAAGATTTAAAACCTATGGTCAGTATGCCTCAGCCCTTACGTCCTGTGGGTCCTGCAGCAGCAAATGTGAGTATTCTGAACAATCTCTCTCAAGCGCGGCAAGTGATGAACTCTGCAGCCCTAACAGGAGGAACTTCTATTGGACTTCAATCAATGGGTGGAACTTCCATGGCCATGCATATGTCAAACGTGATATCCAGTGGAATGGCATCTTCTGTGTCTGCTGCTCAAACTGTGTTACCATCTGGGCAATCAGCTATCACATCAAATGCTGGGTCTGGGACACTTGCCGGAACTGCACAGGTTGCACAAAACTCAGTTCCTGGTTCATTCACTTCTGCTTCTTCTAATGTATCTGGGACTTCAAACCTTGGCATGTCACAACCACTGGGTAATCTTCAAGGAGGTGTTAGTATGGGTCAATCAGTACCTGGATTGAACCAAGGAAATCTTCCTGGAGCTCAGATGGTACAGGGTGGAATGGGCATGAATCAAAACATGATGAGTGGCGGCCCTGGTCTGTCTGGCATGTCATCTGGAACTGGCACAATGATTCCTACACCAGGAATGACTCAACAAGGTCAACCAGGAATGCAGTCCCTTGGTGTGAATAACAATTCAGCAGCCAATATGTCCATGTCCCAACAGACATCAAGTGGGTTGCAATCTGCGCAGTCTAAATATGTGAAAGTTTGGGAGGTAAGACCACCATAGTTTGGAAAGAAATGAGGTTGGATTTACAGTCTGCAGATTCCAGTGCTTAAGAATCTTTCCTATATCAAACCTTGCACTTTCCAAATGATAGTTGGGTTTTCAGTTTTGGACTATCCTTTTGATAATGATTCTGATTTATTGTTCTTAATGTTGAAGTACATGGATTAAATTGGTTTCTGAATTAATGTTTTGCAATATAATATAACTTTTTTTGGATAATTATAAAGAGGACAGTTTGGATTCGCTTTAGTTTATGGAAATCTCTGCAAATAATAGTCAGTCATTCTTTTTCTTTCACCATGTTTTGTTTTATATTTTCTAATTGTTTGGCGTACATAAACACCATTGTGCCAAATAAAGCCCATAAGTACATTTAACAATTGTTTATATCAATAATTCTCACCCAAGATACTCTGGTTTGAATATTTGCTGAATTTGCATGGTCCCTGTGAAGCTTTCCTTCATAGGAGGAGACATTCTCTATCCAATGCAATCTTATTTCTGGCCAATTATTCACGGAAAAATTGGATGGTTTTGAAATAATTGACTCTGTCATGGTGACACACCTTATAGTTATTTGGCATGAGGTTTTTGTTTAATGCTCCACATTCTTGTCTGTGTATGTTGAGTCATAAACTTTTTCTACTATGATCAGTTGGATGTCCTCTGACTATATATCTACATGTCAATTCAAAGTTACTGAACGTTCTCTTCGTTTATAGCTCCCAAAGCCCTAGGAACCACTGGGATATCCGTAGTATCTATACTAAAATGTACCATCTGTCCTCTAATTTACTTGTTTTATTCGTTTCCTTTTGCTCTATGTTAAGATCTTTACCAGGCTTCTAAACTTGCCATCATCTCTTTTGATATGCTCTGCCTGTGCCACTGTTCCACATTAGCTTTAGTCAATCTCATTGGGTTAAAAAGGCCAACATACTCGAAGTTTCTTCTTTTTCTAAAACACTTCCATCTACTTGACAAGTGAGGTCAATTGAATTTCTCCGTGACCCTGTTAAAGTGTCTTCTCCACCAAAGTTCTCCATTGTTTCTTGTCTGGTAAGAAATGGTGGGGTTAGAACTAGTTTTCCTACTAATGCTTCCATAATTCCCTTCACCTAAATTATTAAGCAAAAAATAATAATAACAAACAAATTTACTATGCAACAAATTGGAGAAGTGCAAAAGAACTTTTGCTGACTTGCAACAAATGATTGTGAACAATATCATACCTTGCTTGTTGTGGAGTAAATTCTGTGAACTTGATTCATGTAACACTGTTGTTTATTATAATAAAAATAGTGTCCGTTAAGTGTATTTTTAATTCCGTTCATAATGAGTGAGTACATCTTGAAACTGTAAATGGACAATGAATACTGGGCCATTTTTTTTTTTGGGGGGTATATCTTCTTATCCTCCCATCGCTTATGTTTTTCCGAATGATCTAAATTATGCAGGGAAACTTATCTGGGCAGAGACAAGGCCAGCCTGTTTTCATCACTAGACTGGAAGTATGTAGCTTGCCTGATAAATTACTTTCAATTGCGATCCATCTAGTTAAATTTTTTCTTCATTTTTATGTATATTTTAACAAGGACTGTACAAATATAGATTATGCTTATTTGAACGCATGATTTTAAATAATGGTTTCGGGATATGCATCAGCAATGCTGTCATATATTGGCTAATATTAATATTAGCTGATATATCGATGAATAATGGTATCGGAAGTCCGAAATCCCTATAAGTAATGGGTGATATGGTATGTAATGGCCGTATGTAAAACAACTTCAATTGGTCTCATTGAATGTGATGTAATTTTTTGAATTTCAACACTTGACCAAGTCATTTTTCATATTTATCTTTGCTTATAATCTTATGTTTTTATTTATTTGTGGCAGGGTTATAGGAGTGCATCAGCTTCTGAGACGTAAGTCGACGGACTAATTTTTGAGAACTTGGTTTAAATCAACACACCTTTTCTATTAATTTAACTTTGGGTTCAAGTTTGTGATATGTTGTTCATATCAAATCTAAATAGTTAATTAAAACAAATTCATGCTGAACTTTACTTGCTTACTTCCATGGAACAAAAGCTTGTTTACTGGTGATTCATGGATGCAAACTCAAGTTTAGTTTCAGTGAGATATGACTTGGCAGACATATGATTCAGTGGCGTTGCTTTATTTCGGAGGTCTGAATAGCCATCAGTGTGTTTGGTTTTAGTTTTCTGCATTCAGTTTTCTGAAAATTAAGTTTTTTGTTTTTCGTATTTTTTTTTTGTTTTGTGAATATTTTTTAAATTTTAAGCAATTTTTTTACTTTTTTAGATGCACCTTACTTAGATGTATCTAAATAGTAAAATATTTGTGAAAAAATGTTTTAAAAAATTAATAAATCCACAAAAATATGAAAAATGTGAATTTTTGTATTTTTTGGTATTTTTGTATTTGTAAAAGATTTTTTCACAAATATTGTACTTTTTAAGTGTATTTATGTTAGGTGTGTCTAAAAATTTAAAACAATTGCTTAAAATATTAAAAAAGTTCATTGCAAACATTAAAATACGGAAAATAAAAAAGTAGAATTTTCTGAAAACCAGAACCAAACATGCTGCGCTTTTCTCAATGGAAACATTATTCTGCATCAGAATATGTTGGTTTAGTCTCGAGTTACCTGTTGGAGCTGTACAAGGAAACTCCGTTTTGTTTCTCAAATTGCGATCATGTTTGTTTCTTATTAAAGCCGTGAACATTCTATATATGGATATATTTTAAGCTTTTGCTCATTCTTGAATCAAATAGAATGGTAATGCCTTTAGCACTCGATGCTTAAATACTGTTAGAATTTACCAATTTGCTCCTCCACCTACCATCTCCACTAGCACCCACTTCACCTACCACCTCCACTACACTACACCTACTACCACCTTCTCTTCTAATTTGCTCCTCCACCTACCATCTCCACTAGCACCCACTTCACCTACCACCTCCACTACACTACACCTACTACCACCTTCTCTTCTATATATAGGAGTTGTAATACATAACACAAATCAATCAATCTTGTAACAATCATCAATCAATAATACATAAATTTTTACAAAAAAAAACAAACACACAACAACCTCATCCACAGGCAGAATTTTTCTCCTCTACTCTACTGCAGGTCTCTTCTTCTTGCCTCCGTCCTGAGCGGCCCTTGACGGTGTTGCCTCCGTGCTTCCTCGACCACCAAGCAAGTTGCCTCCTCCCTGCTCCTCCACTACATCAAAAAGCGTGCCCAATCCATAAAAAGGCGTGCCATCAAAAGGCGTGCCCAATTCATCAAAAGGTGTGCCGGACATGATGGCGAGGCACGTGGGCGCCTTGGCTTGCGTGCCCGTTTGTCGGCTGGTGGTAAGAGGCGCGCGATGCGCGTGGCTGCCTCGGCTATAAGACAGAGGCTGAGGCTGAGGCTGAGGCAAAAAACCTGCGAGAGAAATTCTGAGAGAGATTTTGGAGAGAGATTCTGTAACACTCTGTTGTCTGAGAGAGAGTTCTAATACATATCCTGTACAACTTTAAAAGACTCTTTTTTGCTCAGACCAGTCTTTTTCTCATTTCCAGGAAAAAAACCTATTAAATCCTGAATTTAAGTCGTCTTGCCATCTGGAAATAGCTGTCTGCTAATATTACGTTTCAATCTATTCTGGTTTAGTTTGTTTATTAATTTACTTTTTTTGGTATTGACCTTATAGAAGCTTATTCAAAAAGAAATCTTTTAGTATACAAATAAGGAAAATGCAGTTTTAGGATGAATTGTCCAGTTGTATGATATTTTTCATTTTCCATTTTTCTTTCTGTTATATTATTATTTACTTTTTCCTCGGGTCTCAGGCTTGCGGCAAATTGGCCACCAACAATGCAAATAGTTCGGCTTATCTCTCAGGACCACATGAACAACAAGTACTGCCTACTAAGTGAAAACAATCTATTTGCTATCGTATCTTGCTCATCTCTAACCAAAGGAAAATTTTCCTTTATTTGATAATAGGCAATATGTCGGAAAGGCAGATTTTTTAGTTTTCCGGGCGATGAATCAGCATGGTTTTCTTGGACAACTACAAGAAAAGAAGCTTGTAAGTGGTCTCAAGGCTTATCTTATTATTTATTATGCATTAGTCAAAGGCTTGTGCAAAATGTGAAAGTAATTGACAGAAGTATACTCGTTAATTCCGTAAGGCTATGTTTGGATGGAAAGAATCAAATAGAAGGAATGAGAATCTGGAATCCCATTAAAAACAAATCTCATTGTTATTTATCAAAAATAAATAAATAAAAACAAATCTCATTGCTAGTAATTAGATTCCTGTGTTGATGCAATTCAGGTATTTGATTTGGTTAGGAATGCTCTATGGGAGATAAAATTTTAAATATAATGGGCTCATTTACTTGTTTTACTCTTAAATGGTTCAACATACCTCATGGAATGTGAGATTCCATCCTAGTGTGGCAAATAGGATTGCCAGTGGCAATCTTATTCTGCCTTGTGAAGCTAACCAACCGTGAATCACATTCCATTCTTTGATGCACCAAATGACGGAATAAAGGAGATTTTGAATGACACTTTAATTCTGTCTCTCCATTCCTTCCATCCAAACATAGCCTAAAAGAAGGGTATGCAACAATGATAGAATTATCTATGTAGTAAAATTATTTATAATTTATAATTTTTTATTTTTTTTATCTATGTAGTAAAACTAAGGTCAGTAATATTAGAGGATATGGTCATGAATCCACCTCAAGAAGAGAGTTTAATTCAAGTCATCCTCTTTGGCTCCACCCCTAGGGTTTTATCCTAGTAATTGCCTAGTGTGCGTGGAACAGCCAGATTGCACATACCTGGGGACTTGTTGGATACTTGAAAAGGCCCAGAGAGAGAGAGAGAGAGAAGGTGTATGCGTATGCATGTATGTGTGGGTGTATACATATGCACACACATACAAATACATCAGCCAATGGCATTGTTGTTATTTAAGGACAAGGTTGGTATTAGGAAATTTTGTTTTTGTTATTATCATTATTGTGAAGGAAAAAATTTAAACAAAAGGCCAAAGAGGAGCTTGAAAGTCAACTTTCTTTTGTATTAGGGAATGTAATTATTGTCATTATGTAATTATTGAAAATATTAGGGAATGTAATTATTGTCATTATTGTGATAATTCATCATTTTATCTCTAACTATTGAAGTCAAGAATTAAAATAGATTTTTATTTCTTTATCATGCAAGGCCTTTAATGATATGGATGGGAAAAAATGTGTGACAATACGAGTTACTATTACACTGGGTACAAAAGGAAAAAATAGGATAAAATAAAATTTCTAAATTCAAAAATTCGTGTAGTATCTTGTGTTGTCCCTAAAGGGGAGATTAGGGTTCAAGTCGTATTTTAGAAATAGATGCTTGTGTTTGACTCGTCAAAAATGTGAAATGGTAAAACTGGGAAAGTGGTAGGTGCACCCAGAATATTGGCCTGATAGGCCGATATTAAGCCAAAGGGTTGTCTTTTTATTCAAAAATAATAACTCATACCTACAAAAAAATAAAAAGAATATATTTTATGTATATATAGATGTAAATATCAGTGAAACTTGAATTCGAAATTTATTAGCAATCAACTAAATCAACAGATTTGATAGGGGGGAATTGGTTCATTATTTAAAACTTGGCCTATTAACCTTGAGGCTATTGGTTTGAACCGGAGAACAGCTACTTCATGCAAATAATGCCAAAGGATATTGGTTTGGACACTCACACAAGAAGGTTCATACCAATAACTTTTCTCAAAGGAGAAGACCAAATTGCTATTTGATATAGAAATGCTATTTGTTATAGCAATGGTGTGTTATGTGTAAAACGGCAGAGGAAAGTATAGATAATTTATTTTTGCATTGCCCCATTGTTCTATCCTTACGGTGGAAAATCTTACGTCTAGTGGGAGGTTGATTGGGCTATTCCTCCATCATGTGAGCTTTTTGTTGAGCATTGATTTTAGAGGTTTTGGTTCTACTATTAAAGCTTGGGTCCTTTGGAGGTGTGTGGTTTTTTGGGCTGTATGGATTGAAAGAAATATCCTAATTTTTGAAGATAAAAGTTCAAGATTGAGAGTTTGTAGGAGACGATTGTTTTGGGGCTTCTTTTTGGTTTGGTGGCCCTTTCTTTGAAAGAGATGCTACTTTTTTTTAATTGCCAGGGATAGAAAAGGTGTCTGTAGTTTGTAAGGTTTTTTCGTTTCAGCTTCTATCTTGATGTTGGTGGACCCCTTCTTGGACTCTATTTTCATTATTTATAAAATTCCACTTTGTTGTCGTCAAAAAAAGAAAAAAAGAAAAAAATTGAGAGTAGAGATTTATTGTTGAAAGAAAAACAACATATAAATGGAGAGAGGGAGATGGAGTAGAGAGAAATAATTATGTGCAGAGGACTTCACCACCCATTGAAAGGCAACAAAAATGGAACCAGAGATAATATGGATTTCTTGTAATTTCAAGAAGTGGATTCTATAGGTTTTTAATTTAAATATTCTATAGAGAAAGGGGAGGTTTTAAAAGTAAAATGGTGGACATGAGTATTATGTCACTTTTTAAGTTCTCTCTACAATGTGCGCATGGTACAAACAAGCATTGTGGTTTTGACCAAAGTCCATGGTTGTAGGGATTTAGATGAAAGGATTAAGAGACAATAGCGACTATAAAAGATTCAAGGGCTAATATGAAATTTTATGAGGGCAAATAGGAAATTGTTTTGTAAGTTATAGGGAATAGTAGATATTTTTAATTTTGAAGCAGGCAGCTGCCCCCTCTAGTTCTTATGTGCCTTCACCGTGGGACATGTTAGGCATTATGGACAAGTTTGAGGGTAAAGCTGCACTAAAATAGTAATGGTGGTGTTCAGTGTTACATGAACTCTTCTATTCTCTGCGTATACCCATGTTCACCTAACATGACAAGAGTTAGGGTACGGGATGAGTGTCCAATCCCAATACCTAAATTAGACATTTGAATTCTTGAATTTTTAAGATATTTGAAGAGGAATAAGTTCACATTCAATAATAAATTTATTTTATTTTATTTTATTTATTATTATAGTGTCTCACATAAATGGGAGATAGAAGTTTATAGCATCTCACATGAATGGGAGATAGAAGGCTCTTTTTTTTTGTTTTGTTTATTTTTCTAAATACAATTTAATTTCAAGTACATCCCTAAACAATTTGGATGATCTTATGTTAGAATATTATATAATATGCAATATATATGAGAATTTATATTGTGTGTATATCTGTATTGTTAAAATGTATGTATTATTGATTGATTGTCTTGATGTAGTGTTTTTTACAATTACAAGGATTCCTATTATATAGGAGTGTGTTTGGGAGTAGGTGGAGAGTAGGTGAAGTGGAGGTGGTAGTGGTGTAGTGGGTTAGGTTAAAATGAGAATACAAATATTGTATGGATACGGAAAAAATATCTTTATATTTTTATTTTCTATGTATATAAATATAAATTTTGGGCATAGAGATATAAGGGGCATCAATAATGTACATGTGAGTGTGAATACATTTAATTAGGATGTGTTGGGAATCTTATGGTTTCTTGAAGCATTAAAATGGAATTAAAGCTTTTATTCCTTCAATCCCATATATTTAAATGAGTGTGAATACATTTAATAGTGTGAAATAGTGGGATAACTTTAAAATTACGGCTCTACTAGTTAGGTGTGAACACATTAAATGCCTAAAAGCATGGACAAGGGACATGGCGATTTTGAAAAAATGAGAATACAAATATTGTATGGATACGGAAAAAAATATCTTTATATTTTTATTTTCTATGTATATAAATATAAATTTTGGGCATAGAGATATAAGGGGCATCAATAATGTACATGTGGGTGTATTTATTTATTTATTTTTCACTTTTTGATTTGTTTTCATATATTTTACTTTGACCCTAGATCATTTTTCTAAAATTATAGCAAATAAACTTACAAAGGTGTCATGTGGCATGTCCAAACTCAAGACACGTGTTCGGGTGTGTCCCCAAAGCGTCTTGTGAAAAAGAAAAAAGAAGAAGAAATTGACACACCATGTGGCGTGTCCGACATGTGGACATGCATGTCCAATGCAGGCACATTTCCAATACAGTGAATTTCTTAATCATTCATTGGATGAATGATTATACAAAACTTTAGGGTTTTGATGCTTTGACTTGTAAAGAATAAATTATGTGACATGTTTTATTTTATTTTTATTTTTTGTTTGGGTATGTATTATACTTTTTATGTATAGTTTGTGTGCAATACTTTTGTATATGTTTCTGAATTGAATTTTAAAAGTGTTATATTAATATATATAAATACTAGAGTATGAAATACACAAATAATGGAATAATTGTAATTAAGGGCTTACATGAGTGGGAAAATTTGAAAGTTAAATGACTGGAAAAAACACTTTGTTATTTTAAATTATTGTTAAGGACAAAAACGAATCTTGAGGCATAGGCAAAAGTTACATTAACGATATGTAATGGCATTGTTTGAGTTATTATTATTATTATTATTATTATTATTATTATTATTATTTTTTGATAAAAGGGTGTTTGGATCAGCTTACGCACACCTCAATTAATCCTGGGAGACCAATCCCACCGCCCACTTGTTGGGGCCCCATTTAAAGTTAGGGCAAACGTTCTGTATGGACATGGCCCTAAGGAGCTTATTGCTGCTAGTGGGTATTGAACTTGAGACTTAGAGTGAGCTAAGGTTTTAAAAAGCGGCTGTAATCGTTACGTAATGCTGTTACGTAATGGTTGTGGTGGTTACCGCCACTCGTTACGGCCGCTATAGCTTTGTGACGGAAATTCACATGTGTAACAGCCGTTTCGATGTTACATAACGACTGTAATAGTCTGTTAGACACCGTTACACCCAAGGTTTCAAAATGCGGCGTTATGTAATGGTTGCAACGCTAGGCACCACGAGTTACCCCTGCTTTTGCAGTGTGATTAAGATTCATAGGTGTGTCGGCCGTAGCGGTCGTAACGGTGCCGTAATGAAGCCGTAACGGCCTGTTACGCACCGTTACGTAACAGTTTTGAATTGCTTCTTTCGAAAAAAAACAAAAAAGCTAAAAATGGGGGAAGAGGGATAGAGAGAGAAGAGGGAAGATGGAGGAGTAAGATATAGAGAGAGAGAAGAGGGAAGATGAAGAACATGTTATTGATTTGTTGAAGCTGTAAGATCTATGCTATTCTATTCGGCTGCTATCACTCAACCATTTTGTTTGTGTTTCTATCTATATATTGTTTGATAATAATAATAATAATAATAAGTGTGGTCATTATCTATTTGGCTTGATTAAAAAATTTATATATATTTAGGCTCTTATTTGTTCTATTACTTTTGTTATTGTTTATCTTATATATAATAGTTAGTGATTGATTTTTTTTGTAAAATATCTAAAAAACATAACACCTATAATTATATATTAATACATATTTATACATGTCAATTTTTTTTGATTAGTTTATTTTATTTTTATCCAAAAAGAGAATGAATATTAAAGTGATCGAAAAAAAAAAAAATTTTCTTTATAATTTATTTTTTAATTTTTATATGATTACATTAGCATGTATAATTTATTTTTTAAAACTATTCAAGTTAAAATTTGCATATGCTTCCACAAGTGTAATAATTAAAAAAATAATTTTATACATCTAAGTCCAATAACATTTTTTTTTTTGCCACAAGTGTAATATGGATTTATGGAAAACTCAGTTTATAGTGATTTAAAAATATGAAATATATTGGATCATACTTAAAAATTTACAAAAATTGATCAATATTTATTTTAAAACGTAATAAATATGATCTCTGTTATCAGAATCTTACGATTTACGATTCGATTCGCAATTTTTACAAAATCGATACGAATCTATTGATGAATCTATTTTGGAAGTGAATCTCTAGTGAATCGCATGATTCACATTCGATTCACTTTTAACGATTCATGCAACTTTTGAAATTATTGTGTCCGACATATTTTCGACTCTTTTTTTCTCCATCTTTTTAGTGAAAATGGCATAATACAACTTTTAATAGCGTTTAATACCAAAATTACCAACATGTATACATGATTTATTGTTATTTTAGCGATCATGGAGTTTTCAATAGGATCCAATCAGATTCAATCAGACCCAACATATTTTTAACCTTTCTTCTCATTTTTTTTTTCTTTTAAAAAATCATAATTTATCTTATAAAGATGTTTAAGATTAAAGTTACACTATAAATTATCTATTACTGTTTTATTAAATTGAATATTACATGTGTGAGGCTAGTTATACTTTTTAAAATGTTTTAGGCTTTAAAATAAAAGATTCTAAATAATTCCTTCTTATTATTTACTCACTGTTACTTAGAAAAGTATATATGCTTATTGTCCAAATATCAACATTGTTGTTAATTATTGTTACTTTGGAAATTGATAATTTGTCTATTTGGTTACTATCTTTATTAAGAACGGCTGATAAGAAATATCTAAAAAAGAAAAAAGGCAAGATGGTGATATTACATCTTTATTAAGAATGGTTGATAAGAAATATCTAAAAAAGGAAAAATGTAATATGGTGATCTTACATAAGAACCTTTGTTAACTTCTTACCTATTAAACTACGTGATTATTATTCAAAATAACATTTTCATTGATTTAAGTCTAAATATTTTATATTTATAAGATATATTTAACATCTAAATGTGTAGATATATATTTTTAAGTAATTTAGAAAAAGTGACTGAATCTTTATGATTCACGATTCGATTCGATTCGCGATTCGGTACAAGGCCATTTCGATTCAAGATACGAATCCCGATTTGACAACTATGAATATGATTATGGAAAAAAAAAATATGCGTATTGGTAAGCTTTTTTCAATTTGTGTGAAAAATAAAAAAATTTACTGTTTTAGTTACCGCAACCGTTACGCTATAGCCTTTACACCATCCAACTGCAACCGTAACCGCACCACCACCACTATTACGGTGACCGCAATCACTTTTCAGAACCTTGGAGTGAGCACACCCTTAGGTCCCAAGTTTTACCCACTAGGCCAACCCCTTGAGGTTACATTGTATGAGTTATTATTATGTCTGGCAAATAGGGAAAAGGGGTTTAGCCGTAGAGGTGTTACATGGAGGGTGACAGTAAATAGCCACCGATTTATTTAAGGTTGTGGCTTAATGTAATTAAATTTGACTTGTCCAATGAAACATATGCTAGTTGGTTTGCCGTCTGTTCAGCATTTACGTTTGTGCTATGATTTCCTTGCTAACCTTATGCACTTCCAAATAAATGCATGCAACACTTTGAAGGAAAAAGAGTACAATTGCAGGCACCTCACAGAGTTATTCCCAAATCTCTTGAGGGGTTGATCTATAGATGAAACCAGGATTCCTCACATGTTATAATAATTGTGTGGAGATCAATTATTTTGTATAGTAACAAATTTTCTGGAAATATCTGGCATAAGAAATGTATAATATAATCATTTTGATCAAGATTGGCAATAATCGCTTACGTAACCTTTTTATTTGCAGTACTTTTTTCTGACATCCGTCTCCAGTCATGAAGTAAAATTGATGCCGTATTGATGTAGTAAGATTTAGTGGTGTAGTTATGTTTTTGGCATTATAAGAGTTGGTTGGGTCTTTTGGCCTATAAATAGGTAGTTAGGGTCTTGGAAAAGGAGTTCATGATATTTTGAAAGTGTACTTCGTGAGCTTAGAGCTCTTGTATCTCAATATTGATACTTCATTCAGAGTGTCAAGACCTTGACAATGTGTTATTTACATTTTCTGCATCTAAGTTGGAATTTAAAAGATTTTAATTGGTGCAAGTTGTCCCATAAACTAAAATTCGAGGCAGTGTTTCATTCTGTTCCCCAGATTTTGAACACTGTAACATTTTAGTACTGAAATTATACAACTAAAAATGATACTAATTTCCAAAAATAGTATAGTTAACTAGAAACTCTTTTATTTATTTATTATATTATTAAATTTAAATTATAAGCATTCTCAGGTGTGCAAAATGGCACCAGTTAACTGTGTAGAACTTATTACTTCATTTTGATCATAAATAGACCGTTTCCATGTCCTGGGATCATTTTCTCCGGAGAGAAACTATTTGCACAGAATGCTTTCACAAAATGGTTCACAAACAAGGCACAAGGGATCATTTTCTGTGAATGGCTAACAGTGCATTTAACGGGATTTCCTAATGTTGACTGTCATCAATCTGTAGTGTGCAGTGATACAGTTACCATCACAGACATTGCTGTTATCTGTTTCCGATAAAGCCTGCCGCTTGATTGGAATGCTTTTCCCTGGGGTAAGATGTTCTTTCACATAGTTTTGTCATCTATACTGAAATTAAGTTCAATGTGGATCACATATGAAACCGTGCTTTGTATTTACAATTCATACTCCGCTTACAATTAATTGTTGTGTGGGTGTAGGATATGGTTGTGTTCAAGCCACAGATATCGAGTCAGCAGCAACAACAGCAACAAATGCAACACCAGCAGCAACTTCAAGCACAACAGCATCCACAGTTGCAACAGCAACAACTTTCCCAAATGCAGCAACAAGCAGCACTTCCACAGATGCAACAACAACAGCAAACGCTTCCGCAACAAATGCAGCAACAACAACAAACCCTTCCACAAATGCAGCAACAGCAGCAGCAACAGCTTTCACAGATGCAGCAACAGCAACAACAACAGCAACAGCAACAGCAACAGCAACAGATTTCGCAGTTGCAGCAACAGCAACAACAACCGCAGCAACAACAGATGGTCGGGACAGGAATGGGTCAAGCTTATGTTCAAGGTCCGAACCGGTCACAGTTAGTATCTCAGGGACAAGTATCATCACAAGGGCCACAAAACATGCCTGGAGGAGGCTTTATGAGTTAAATAACTAATTTCAGAAGATGAGCATTCGTGTTATGCTTGAATCAATCACCAATATAATTATGCTTTTAGGCTTGTTCTTTTAAGTTGCTTAGTGATAGCTAAGGCACATCAAATTAAGATTTTTAAGACCCATACTTGAGTGCTTGCATTATCCTTTGGAAGTTTGAGATTTGCTTGTGTGTTTTATATACTATGATGCTTATAAAGTTATTGGGAGAAATTTAACTTTCAATATCAGTGTTATTTTTGTGAGTTCCATTTACTGCATGCCATATATGAGATTATGAATAGTTTATGAGATGAGATTATGAGCAGTTTATGAGATTTGTATATTTGTATAGCATTTTCCTTTTTGCAAAAGTTCTTGCAGAACAGGAGGAAAAAGGTTCTTCTGGAACCAACAAGATGTTACCATATCGGTCTGCAAATCAAGAGCAGTAAAGCTTATTGTAACTTAGGATTTCTTAAGGTATATTGTTTTGACAGACTTCATGATTTCATTGTTTGAAGATGATGAGTTGACTTGAACAACAGAAGGGAGAAAAGAAGCCCAAGAACTGAGCATTTGTGTCGTATATTCTCAGCCTGAAGGACTCCACAAGTATATGTGCACACTTGAGAGTAGTGCTCTCCTTGTTGTAAAATCACCCTTTAACTTGCAGGGCACATCATTAGGTAATTCTATTTGCACACTATGTTTTCATTTCAATTTACACAATTTTTGCAGCTTTGATATCAACTTTTGAACAAAAATTGATTGTTCAGATATCAACCACTGAACAGCCTATTTGTTTGGAATATATCTAAATAATTGATTTTTGTTTTAAAGTTGATATCCAAAGGGTAAAATTGTGTGAATTGAAACAAAGCTTGGTGTGCAACTGTAACCACCCCACATCATAGGTTCCACCAGCGTGCATGATTCATGCAAATGAGGATTTTCGTTAGTACTGAATCATAGGAAAATGACATCAGAAAGATTTCATTGCTGTTTATTTTCACTTCTGGATTAATACATGTACGGGAAAGAAATACGCCTTCTCGTATAATTCTGTTGACCAAGTCCACACTCCTCCGTACGACGTCGTTTTATCACCTGAAAACACAAACGTGAGCTAGCCGGCGGGTGTGTGCCGGAAACCTCTCCGATGCCTAAGTCAGAAAAATAGACAAAGCTCTATATTCTCAAAAAGCAAAATTGTGTTGTGTTCAATTACCTCCTCCAAGGTGATGTTTGTGAGCTTTTATAAGTTTCCTGTGGCACAATCCTAGTAGGACTTTTATTCCTCCATGCAGAGTCCTCCTAGGATTCATACTCCTAAGGATAATGCTTATCCTTTTACACCCCCCACTGCTTAAACCAAGTGGGATGGTTTTTACTTTGGCCGAACTGCTATATGACCGAAATAAGCTTGGCTATGCAAAGCCAATGAGTAAACCGAACTATTCCTAGTTTGGTTCCACCCTTAACTCTATCCTTATCTCGGTTTTCTCATGTACAACCAATGGTACGGTCTTAGACCGAACCAATGACTTTCGGTCGGTATGACTCCAAGACCGGCATAACTCTAAATCGTTCCTGGACCGAAGTATCTTTATAATTCCTGAGCCGAAGTAATTTTACCTCCCTGGCCGGAGTAACTTTGTTTCTCCTAGGCCGGAGTAACCTTGCCTCTCCTGGGCTGGAGTAACCTTGCCTCTCCTGGGCCGGAGTAACCATTACGGCCTTTTTACTTAGTCCTTCACACTTTGGGCCACAAAGCCCATTCTCGCAGCTCGGCTCAATTTTTCCAAAAAATTACCCTCTCAATTGCCCCTTAATTCCATCTGCGCAACATGATTGGGATTACCAGTCTACTGGCCGAGCTAGAGTTTATTAAGCCTTTCCAGCCGAGCTAAAAAACCCTTTAGCCTCTCCAGCCGAGCCAAAAACTCTTGGGCCCTTAAGCCGTGCTAATTTTACTTCGGGCTTTACTTTGTCCGGTTAAAATGTCTCTTCAATCATGACTGTAACGCTTCCCTTTCCGTATACACGTGGCACGCTCCCATTCGTAGAAGGCAGCTGTCAACGCCGTCTTCGTGTTTCGCAATTTTTGAACAGTTCCCGTCCTCTCTTTCTTTCCACAAAACAATCATCCTGCCTTTGAACCATTCACCTTCACTATTCTTCATCTTCTCTCTCTGTGCTCTTGCTGTTCGTGTTCTTCCTTTACTGCAACAGTTTTCACCTTCAATCCCTTCCTCTTTGACCTGGTAAGCAAATGTACTTTCCCTTCATGTTTTTTGCTTTCATATTTGTTTTATGCATTTGGTTTACTATATTTTTGCAAAAACATGTTCTTCCATTTCTGCTTTGCTTCTGTACTTTCATGAAAAAACCAGTAGAACTCATGTGTGTATGAACTATTCTGTAGAAAAACTAGCCTTAGATCCAAAATTACATAGCAACCGAACTAGGATATTGTTTGTCCAATATAGGTAGGTTACTTTCGACAATAACCGAACTAGAACTTCAAAAGATATCCAACCTTCGTTTTTACCTTAGCCGAAATAAGACCACCGAACGAAGTTTGAACAAATTAGGCTAGGAACCACGATTTTCAACCGAGCTGAGCCTTGGGGCTAAGCCAGCTTTCTTAGTTTTTAAACCAAACTCAGAAAGCTGCCCCTAGTGGCTTAACCGAAGTAAACAACCCACTGTTCAAACCGAGATAAATAAAACCGATCTTGCGTACCCAAAGTTTAAACCGAACTACCAAATGTTACGCCAAACCGAGGTAGAACCAGCTCGCAAGGCCGAAGTAGGGCTCTTGTAAATTGCTTTTAATTTGTAGCACGGTCCAATGATCAGTGCTTAACCCCTTTGTTTTCTACTTTGCAGACTTAGGTTACCCAGGCACTCCTGTGTGCGCTCAACCGAGCTACTGAGCACGATTTTTGCACCGATATAATTTATTCGTAAATTATACACCAGATGGGTAAGTATAGATATCTAGTAGAGACCCCTGGTGGCATGGCCGAATTCAGGAAGGACTATAACATACCTGATGATGTCCACTTGACTTTAGCCCAAAAAGATGTCATCCCATGGGATAATGAAGGCTTTGTCCCCTTCACCCTTCTATCCATTATAGAAACCGGACTACGGTTTCCAGTCCAACCATTGATCTGTGAATTTCTTAGGCAGACTAGATTATGCCCTACCCAACTGTCCACCAATTCATACCGCATCATTATGGGAATAGCCGCACTAAACCACCAACCCGGACTAAACCTCGGCCTGGCCGAAATCTTCCATCAATACTCCATCGGCTCAAAAGAGGATGGGTGGGTCTATTACCTTAGGATTCGCCGCCGCCGAGAGAAGATAGTTAAGTATACACCGGACAAAGACCTTAATGACGACGATTTTTTATGGGTTTCTGGGAATTTTGAGGATTTCCAAGCCTAAATACCTGGCCGACCTATAAATTGGAAAAAGGGAGAGCCTGGTAATTTGACTTCGGTCTTCTTCCTTGTATTTTTATTTCGGTTTTTTAGTCTACCAACCGAACTAACAGTTCTTCTTTCGCAGATTTCGCCCACCTCCATTCCTTATATAGCTATCCCAATCTTGCTATTTTGCGAGCCGCACTACGGTTTAAAGAAAGGAGTTGGGCTAAGCTTCTAAACTTTGAGCCGACCTACCGGTACAGCGGTCGCCGAAAAGCAAGAGTAACTGACTTTCTTCTTGAAGACGCCCCAGAACCGGACCCAAACTTGCTGCAAATAAGATTAATTCCTTTAACTGCTCGAGAGGAAATGGCCAAGAAGAACAGATTAAGGGCGCTTCTGACCGAGACAAGCAGGCCCGAAGTACCGTCGCCCAGCCAAACACAGCCTGCCGTTGTGGCCCTCCCCTCTCAACAGCCGTTTTCATCGCGTCGAACCAAGCGCGCACGAACCACCGAGTCTGAGCCAAGTTTGGTTGATGAAGATAAGACTGCTATTCCACCAATCCAGCCACCGAGCCCCCAACCGGAGCCCACCGACCGAACTGCAACCAGCTGGGTACCAAAACTTACTTTCAAGAACCGAGATGTCATAGATGCTGATTCGGTTGTCGCCGAAAAGGATCACGAGTTGGCCTTTAATCTGGCCAAGAGTGTGTGCCTTCCCAAGGATATGGAGCACCACAAAAAGCAGCTAAACACCGAATTAAAGTCCATTCGGTCTGCAACAAAGTCCATGATCTTGGTATGCAGCTCTTGTCCATTTTTTTGTCTAGTTTTTTTAAACTTTTATTTCGGCTCATGGGAAGTCCTTGTTTTTGCCAGGCAATTCAAAAAAACTACAATACTCACAAGAAGGTGTTGGAACTCAGAAAAACTGCAAGGGATGCTGTGGCAGAAGCCGAAATGAAATCGGCCGAGGTAGAAGACATCAAGAAGCAAATGGTCGAGCTTTAAGCTGAGAACAGCAGGCTGACCGGACTAGTTAGTTCGGTCGAGGCAGAAAGGCAGAAGACTGCCATAGCTCTGAAGGACAAATACCTGCACGAGCTGGTGAAGCTTGAAAGAAAGAAAGATGCCGAAATAAAAGAGAGCGCAAAGGAAGCCAGCAAACAAGGCTTCAAGAAGGCAGAAGATGCTTATGCCAAGCAATGTAATGCTGTCAAGGAGCTGTTCTTCAAGTGTGGCTGGAGGGCGGCTATTAAGAAGCTTGGTCATGATCAACAGACCGAGGTTTTCAACCCTCCAGCCCATTTCATACCGAAGTCCCTTGCGGAGTATGCGAATGCCATGCAGCAGCAGTTCCTTGAAGGCTCAGACTC